TACAGTCCTATTAAGCACATATTAACATGTATAAGCCTACAATTAGTGTCTAACACCACTAACAAGCATAGGAAACACCATTGGGATGTAGGAAACACTCACAATGAAGTGTTAGAATCAAGAATGGGGGACAAAAAGGAGTTCACAGCCAACTACCATGCATTTACGGCCCATGATGTGTTCACGGACAATGAACACATGAAGGGTTTACGACGTATGAACACATGAAGGGTTTACAACCCACTCATGAACATTTGAAGGGTTTACGGCCCATTTATGAACATTTGAAGGGTTTACGGCCCATTTATGAACATTTGAAGGGTTTATGGCCATAAACTCTTCAAGATCATAAAGATATTGATGAAAGTGATGAATCAAATGAATGAATATGAAGCCTTTTACATGAATAAAATGAATACCAAGTGAAAGGGATGAATTACTTACGTTTGTGGGGTGAAAAGAAAGCTTTTGTTGGATAAAACTTGAGAGAGTCTTGAGGAGTTTTCGGCCAGAAAAATGTAAATGATGGTAGGAATCACGTAGTTATAGGTTGGGTGCATGGTCGGTGGTGGGGGCCACCTGTCACCAACTGTTAATAGGTTTATAGTCGTGAATGAGTTTACGACCAAGAACACCAATTAGGCTGGTTTTCGATGATTTTCTAAGCAACTCGGGTTTTCGCGCGATTTTGGTTTCGACTCACATATAAATTTAATTATATAACCTAAATGATTTTCCAAATCATAAGAATTTGACGGAACTAAATAAAATTCAAATTTTACTAACGGAATCGGGCTAACATTGACGGAAAAAGATTGGGGTTGTCATAAAGCTTGTAGTTAGATGATTGTCTGTGTGATAATTTTCTGGTATGTCATCGTCTGTTATGTTCTATGTGTCAGTATCTTATGATTCTATGTGGTAGTAGTAAGGGTGAAATAGTCCCCAATATCCGGTTGAAATAGACCGAAGGGGAGGCTAGCACCCATATATTACAGACAGTTATCCGATTGAAATAGACCGAAGGGGATTCCAGCACCCATATATGCTAGGCAGTTATCCGGTTGAAATAGATTGCAGGAGAGGCCGACACCCAGATATTCTAGGCATATTATGTTATTGTATGGTATGTGGTATGATGGGGGGACTCATTAAGCTTTGTGCTTACAGTTTTCAGTTTTGGTTTCAGGTACCTCTTCATCGAAGGGGAAGGAGATGGCATGGTAGCGGCGCATCACACACACATATGATTCCGCATTTTGAGATCCATGGGATTATACTCTGATATTACTATTATTATTATTCCATGACATGTTTTACAATATTCGGCTTATTAGATTTCAGGTAGATATGATATTGATGATGTTTTCAGTAAACAATTTTATAATCTACTTAATTTAGAAACGAAATTTTTGGTCATGATTTTTGGGGTGTTACATCAGTCTTTTAGCTGTGGACCCAATACATGTTCTTATTTTGTATACGTTATATGTGTGTGTTGGTACTTTGAGGGAACTCACTAAGCTTTGTGCTCACAATTTATGTTTATGGTTTCAGGTACTTTAGAGAATCGTGGGAAGGAGAAGGCATGACCGTATACATCCTAATTTTATTTCATTGATCTTGGGAGACTGATTTTTAAATAATATTTTGGAAACAATGTTTTTTTTACACTTTTATTAGTAAATGAGTTGTTTTGAAAAGTTTTAATTGGTTTAAATTTTTGGGATATTATATATATATATATATATATATATATATATATATATATATATATATATATATATATATATATATATATCATTTGAAAGTAAATATATACATTCACTTTTTATCTTCCTCCTACAATATGTTTTTTTATCGAACAACTACTAGGCTATATATAATATATATGAAATAATAACTTGTTTTAATGTCTTTAATTATTATTTTCATAAAAATAATAATTATTCCTTAATTTAATACAACAATTGATTTTATTTATTAATAACATATTAATAATAATTATTCAAAATGTGACAACCTGATAAATGTGTGACCCCATTTTTAAATTTTATGTATTTTTAATTTGTAATGTTGGTTTTTTAGTACTAGAGTGATAACCATTTTTAAGGGATTGTGGTGTGGTAGTATGAATGTTGTAAAGATGATAACGTTGATGGCATGTCACTTTTCTGTTAGACATGTAGTAATCATACTCATTAATCTTAGAGGGAAAGAAAGAAAACGTGGTATAATGAGTTTTAGAAATCAGAAAAAGAAGAAGAAAGAACAAGAAATCGCATAAGAAAGATAAGCACAGAAGTAACCGTTGGGTGTTGGTTGGAGTCTTGAGAAGCGGTAGCTCTATTTAGAGTTTCCATGGAAATAATTGATAAAGCCTTGGAAATTGAAAATTAACATCGCACGATTGACACTAGGAAATTTGTTCTTGCTTACTCTTCTTCTTGGTGCCCAATATTAACATTGGGCCTTTGAAGTCCTCGGTTAGGCTAAAAAACAATGGGTTGTTTCTATATAATCCAACATAACAAGTATTAAATGGTGCCCGTATGGAATTTAGGGGCGTGTGTCAGTCGCTCAACTTTCTTTGGCCTATGGGCCGGTACTAGAACCCACCCAAGAAAGGACAAAATCCAGTAACTGACCTCCTAAAACAAGTGTATTTCTCTCGATGTGCATCGATTCAAGCATTAAGGGGTAAAGAGCAAGTCTTGGGAATAGAAATACCTTACCCTAGACAGGGCCGGCCCCAAGATTTTAAAGACCTTGTGCGATTTAACAAAAAATAGACCCTAAAATTTGAAAAATCTCAAAATTTAAGTAAAAAATTATAAATTATAATTTTCTATTGCAAATACATAAAATTATCAGCAACAGATCAGAAAATTGCAGATTTCTTCTTGGAAATTTAGTGCTATAGATTGAAACTCAAGCAATAAAGGGTATGAAACTGTAAAAGCAGCAGATCATAAATTTATCAAATAGCAAATTAGAAACATATCAAAAAGGAATAAAGGGTACCTTTTGATTTTTGTCACTTCAAATAAGCAAGAAAGAATATCAAAACTTAAAAAAAAAAAAAAACAAAAATCAAATCAGAACTTGATCAGAAATACAAAAACAAAAAAGAAACTGATTTTCATCTTAAAGCTTATTATATCGGATAGCAAATCAGAAATTTATCAATTATCAGATATCAAATAGAAATTTATCAGCAACAGATAAGATATTTATCATATAGAAAATCATAAACGAATAAAGGATACCTTCTGATTCTGATTTTCGTCACTTCACTTCATAAATCGACTTCCTCAATGTCGTTCCTTCTGATTTTCTAAACTGATGTGCTTAATGTTCTTGTTCCTTTTTATTTTCAAAACTCACTTCTTGTTTCCTTTAGACATTAAAAATAAAAAAACTAAGCAGAAGAAAAAGAAGAACGCATGAAGAACATGAAACCAGAAGTCCAGAAATTAGAAATACCTTAATCCCTACCTTCAGTCATTCTCCTTCTGATTTCGAAACCACAAATCCACAACATTAAATCTGATTTTCAAGAAGAGAGAAAGATTGTATGATCATTTGTATTTTGTAACTTTGTTTCAGAAATCAGAATTTGTGAAGAAAGATGAAAGAAGAAGATTGTTCATAGCTTTGCATATTTAATTCCTTTGCAAATTTAAGAAAACAATATCGTTTGTAGATTTACTCCCCGACCCATGCGTAAACAAAGAAGAAATTGAAGCGTTTTCCTTTTCCCGAAATTTACTTTTTTCCCGCTACTTCTTGCGTGATTACTGATGCGTCACTTGTAAGAGCCAGGAGGTGAGCCAACTGAACCTAGGATAGCATAAAATCTATAATAATTTGCGGCCCTCCAATTTTTTGGGTCCTGTTCTTCGGCACCTGTTCGGCACCTGTTGAACTTGGCAAGGGCCGCCCCTGCCCTAGACCCATCTTTAATATATTAGCACTCTCACTACAAATTTTATATTACTTTTTGGGAAGCATGCATACATTGGCTAATGGTTTGAACAGCTATCAAGTATTAGACATGGTGTTGGTTAGTAAATAAGTTTCTAAACCATACATAGTAATAGTAGCTAGTAATTCATAATTAGAACCAATCCCTTCGCTAGTCACAACTATATTAAGATCAAGAGGAATAGTAACATGTTTGTACCCAAGTTTATATAATAATGCTCGGTACTAGTACTTTATGTAGGACAAACATAGCCCTTCAAATGATGACTTGCCCCATTTTTTTACGTTAACCAATTGATCTATTGCTACCATTTCAATTTGTTACGGAAGAAACCAAACTAAAGCAACAAAATAACACACGAAATTTACAGGATTCGACCGATATAACCTATGTCTACGTGTAGGAACCAGATAAATCATCTATTAGTCTGTATCCAATGTTATTAATAAAAAGAATCCTAACGACAATATTTATAACCGTAAAACCTTGACAACTATATGACCGAATCCATATACAAAGAAATCCAGAATAAAAGAGCATGTCCTAAGTGTTTGTCGTGAACGGCATAGGCATGTCGGCTAAGCCTACTCCACACATTTTTCTTGCCGATACATGATGTCAGGTTTCTTCATTTCATTCTCAAGAAAGTATTTTAAACATGAACCCTTGATTAATTAAAAAAAAAACATTTTCAATGCCATTATTTCTTGCTCACAATTACAGGTCAATACAATATCATTCACATAACTCAATAATACAACACACCTATTACCTTTTTGTTTATGTAAAAACAGAATAATCGTTTTCACTTTGAGTAAAAACCCAAATTAACTAAAGATGAGGTTTTTTTTCTGGGGCATGTTTAAGCCCATCATATTTAGAAAAGTAACCTTGAGGAAGTGTGATCTAAGCATCTTCCTAAAGGTGTCCATATAAAAGCATTGTTAACATCAAATTCTCTTTTCGTTAAATCTTTTCCCCTCTTTCTCTCCATGCGAGAACAGGCGGTTCTATGTCATACTATCCCTGCAATATCATTGTCAGGCGAAACTCCATATTATCCGGCGAACTTAAACGATTGCAGAATGCCCAAAAAAGACAATATTTTTCCACAATCCCATGCCATCGCACCATCCTCCCACTCTGCGCCTCCGCAAAATCACTCCAACAAACCAAGCAATGCCACGCGATTGCCCTCCTGAATGGCTACCTCCCAAACAGCATTTCCGTCTCCGCTTCTCTCATCCTCCAGTACGCCACCTTCGGAGACCCATCAACATCCCGCCTTCTGTTTCACCAATCACTCCCCTACTCTCGCTCTGCTTTCTTGTGGAACAAGATCACGCGAGCTTACAGCATTGCCGGAGTTTACGATGCGTTTCAAATTTATAATCTGATGATTCGTAATGGTGTTAGGCCCGATGATCATTCTTTCCCATTTGTTCTCAAAGTTTGTTCGGATTATCACGAGGTCTGGAAGGGACAAGAGGTTCATGGGTTGGTTTGCAAACTGGGTTTTGATTCTGATGTATTTGTTGGGAACACCCTTCTGAGATTTTATGGTGAGTGTAGTAGCATAAATGATGCAGAGAAAGTGTTCGATGAAATGCCTGAGAGAGACGCTGTGACATGGAACACACTTATCGCAGTATTTTCAATCAAGTTTTCTTACGATAAAGCAATTGCCTTTTTTAGGGACATGAGATCCCAACCACTCTATTCTGGGGTTAGCCCAAATGTAGCCACCATTGTAAGCTTGTTACCCGTGTGTGCATCTATTGAAGACTTTGCAATCACAAGCGAGATTCATAGTTATGTCATCAAGATGGGATTCAGTGATGACATTAAAATAAACAATGCTTTCATCGATGCATATGGGAAATGTGGCAATTTAAAAGCCTGTAAGCAAGTTTTCAATGAAATGGTGGATAGAAATCATGTTTCTTTTAATGCTATCATCACAAGTTTTTCTCACACAGATCATCATCAAGATGCCATACTTTTCTTCCAATACATGATCAACAAATCTATCACACCAAACTCTGTTGCTATTTCTAGCATCCTGCCTATCATAGTTGATCTTGAATGTCTTCAATGGGGAATCGAGCTTCATGGTTTTAGTATAAGAACCGGTATCGAATCCGATATATTTGTAGCCAATTCTTTACTAGACATGTACGCAAAATTCAGGTATCCCATTAAAGCATCAAACATTTTCAACAATATTCACTCGAAAAATATCGTATCATGGAACACGATGATAGCTAATTATGCTCAAAACGGATCTGAATTGTTAGCTTTACAAACATTAAGAGAAATGCAAGCTCATGGCATAGTCCCGGGACCCGTAACCTTAACAAACATTCTTCCCGCTTGTGCACGAATCGGTCATTTATCCCATGGAAAACAGATACATTGTAAGTCAATCCGAAACGGGTTTGACTTTCAAATATTCATATCGAATGCACTTATTGACATGTATGCAAAATGTAGTCGTTTAGATCTTGCAAGAAGCGTTTTCAATGTATCATATAAAGATAAAATATCATACAACACACTCATATCGGCTTATTCTCATACAAACACATCCTTCGAGTCTTTGATTTTGTTTCGCGAATTAGGGTTAAAAGATATGGAATATGACACCGTGTCTTTTTCCGGGGCACTTTCGGCTTGTGCCAATATGGCGGAAATCAAGAAAGGTAAGGAGATTCATGGGGTTTGTTTAAAAAAAGGGTACACACCACTTATGGGTCCCACCCACCAACCGGTCCCAAACCTGATGTCTTCTGACTCCTCAGTTATAGATTCTCACCTCCTTACTGTTAAACAGCTGCATTCCCTCATTGTTTCCAACTCGATCTTGGATCTTTACGCGAAATGCGGGCGCATCGATCTTGCTAAAAAGGTATTCGATCGGATCCCCAACAAGGATACGGCCTCATGGAACACGATGATCATGGGGTATGGAATGCGTGGCGAGATTGACACTGCAATCGGTTTATTCGAATCCATGGGAGATGATGATCATGTGAGACGAGATTCGATTAGTTACGTAGCGGTTTTATCCGTTTGTAGCCATGGAGGGTTAGTTGAATTAGGGAGGAAATATTTCAAAAAGATGAAAGAGGACAAGATTGAAGTGACACAAGTGCATTATGGGTGTATGGTTGATATTTTTGGGCGGGCCGGGTTGTTGGAGGAGGCGGTGGAGATGATAAATGGGATGTGGGTGGAACCGGATGCAAATGTGTGGGGGTCTTTACTTGGCGGGTGTCGGATCCATGGGGATATTGAGTTGGGTCGGTGGGCGGGTGAGAATTTGTTTAGGTTAAAACCGGGTCATTCGGGGTATTATACTTTGGTTTCGAATATGTATGCGGAAGCTGGGAAGTGGTGTGAAGTGGATGGGATTAGGGAGTTGATGAAGGTGAGGGGAGTGAAAAAGAACCCCGGTTTTAGTTGTGTTTAAGAAAGAGTGTATTGTTTCGAAATTGTCAATGCATATATTACAATGTTTATTATTTAATTAATAATATCCGAAAGTAAAATTTTTAGTGGAACTAATGATGTATATATGTCAACCGTGTATTATTTACTATTTAGGTATTCGGGACTTGGTTTGATTTTATGTATTAGAAAGTGGTAGGTGTTTTAGTGTTTTACACATTATGATTTTATGTATTAGGAAGTCGCTCACTATAAGACAAAGGAGTGAGAAATAATTGTAATGAGCCTAAAATTGTTGTAGAGAAACAACTAGAAAATATGGGACACTCCTTTCTCCTAGGCGTTCACCATGAGAAGCATGGAAAAACACTCGTATGGGATATAGACTGCTTAATGATTATTAATGACAAAAGAAGAAAGTGTGAGGAAATGAGAACAACCATTCCTCTATTTATGATCAACCTCAAGCCTTGATGCTTCCCACACCTACCACATGATGCAACCTAGTATGACATGTTGAAAAACCACATGATGCAACCTAGTATGACATATGTTGAAAAGTGACCTCAAAACTCATAGATGGTCAAAACAGTAGCTATCAGGTGGCAATTTTTTTTTTTTTTTTGAAGTTGATGATAAAGCGATCTGAACTAATTTTTCACAAGGCCAATATGAAACAACTTGGAAGCATCATGAGGCAACAATGATGGATCCAGACGACTTGAACTCAACCTCATGATCTATTGATGAAACAACATTGACCCTGATAGGTTGAAACATTTTTTTTGGTTCTTATGAGTTATGAGAGTGTGAACTTATTTCTATAACCCTAGAAAACAGTCTATTTTATTTTTTCTAATACATACTCCGCATTCAACACTATACACTTGTATTTTTCGTATTTCTTTACATTGTAAACATTATTATCATTACTAGATCTCTCGATGGTCTCCTTCGCTAGTGTTTTTCTTCTTCTTCTTCTTCATGATTTGCCATCTCTATGTAAAACTCGGTGTGTTTGTCTATAGTGTTTATTGTTTTACTTATTATTATTGGATCTTATATATATATATATATATATATATATATATATATATATATATATATATATATATATATATATATATATGAATGATATCTTTTGATTAGATATGTTATTATGTATTGTCAAGTCATTTGAAGAATTTGGATCTATTGAGTTTTATCAATCTTGTGAAAAGTTTGTTATTAGAAATGTGTTTATTCTTCTTTGCTCATTAGTTTTTATGAACATATTGCTGATAATATTCTTGTGTGATTGTGATTTATGCACATAAAAATTCTTGGTTGGAGATTTTAAAAGATCACACTCGTTAAACACTTGAAGTTTAAAAACATTTGTAGGTTGAAGATGGAAGGCAAATGGTTGATGTTTGAAGTTAAAAACTTAAACAAAATATGATGCACATGCAAATTCTTTTAGGCGAATGGCGAATGGTGTACCCATATCAATTATCTTTGTCCAACTAAGAAGCTTGGTTGAAAGCAATGGTCGAACCAAAAAGAAGCCTAGTTGAACCCAAGGGCTAAATCTAAGGAACGTGGTGGAACCTAATTGCTAAACCTAAGGGTTGAACCAAAAATATTCGTTAAATCCAAGGGTCAAACCAATAATTTTATATGGTTAAACCCAACCATTGGGTTAAAGCTAAGGGAAAAACCCAAAATTCTTGGTTGAATCCAATGGCCAAACCAAAGAATCTTAGTTGGTCCCAAGGGATGAAACCAAGACATTTGGTTCAACTTAAGGGTTGAACCAATAATCTTAGTTATAGCCAAGGGCAAACAAACGGCCGAAACCAAGAATATTGGTTGAACCCAAAAGCTAAGCCAAGGATCAAGGTTGAACCCATCAAGGTTCTAGGCCGACCTAAGGGTCAAGGTTTAGGGTTTTATAGGTTACGAAAATCATGTACATGCGGAAAAATAACACTTAACAATTAAGGGTACATCCAACCTATTAGGATCTATATCTTCACATTAAAGGCAACATAATATGAACTATGATCTATGAAACCTAGAAGAATTGTACTATAATCGAAATTATTGGGATCAGGGTTATATACCTTTGAATTGTTATTGCAAACAATTCCTTGATTCCTTGTTTGTAGATCTTTAGAAAACAAGCACCAAAATAATGATGTCTCTAATGGCTCACACCCAAAGCTAGAAATTATAACACAAGAGAGGAGCAAGGAGAGGGATGTGAAGTTTTGGTCATGTATCTTTAGAAAAGAGTGGCTGAAAATTGCAAGCTAATGACCCCTTTATATATTTGCCAGGAAACCCTAAAAATCCTAGATTTGAACATAAAATAATAATCCTGGTAATTATCTACTTTCTTTATGTTAAATGGAGCATTCTAGACTGCCTTAAAAGGCACTCCAAAATCATCCACTATAGGAGGTTTCTAGAACCTCTCATTTGCTCAACTATTAAGCAATTAGAAAGCAGCCTTTACACTTCTAATTAATTCCAGTTGACCCCACATTAATTCTAAATTAATTCTGATCAATTATTAATTAATTTAATCTATTTCTAATTAATTTATTAATCATATAACAAACTAATAAATCATTTCTTCTCTATACAAATGTCATTCTAATCAATTTCTAGTTATGAGGGCAACCTAAAAGGACTTTGCCTCTAATTACAAGTTTATACCAATTTATTTATGAGCTTAAACACTTTAATCCAACGGTCTCTCACTTGGATAAGTCTATAACTACAATTGATAGTATAACCCTGAACCAAATAGTAAAGAGTGTTTTTCAAAGCTACAGTCGAAATTTGAATCAAATCAGACAGTAGCCCTGAGATAAGTGATCAACTATTCATTATTTCTTCATGATATCACATGGAAACGAGACATAGATTATAATCAATCTCATTGTCCAAGATTCTTTTTCCCAATTTCCTGATTTATGACGACGTCATCAGACTACCAATTGAACACATCAATCTAGTATCAGTTGGGCCCAACACTATAAGGTCAACATCAAATCACCAAGGGGCCTAAATATATTGCTTTTCCTGTTAGGGCAAAAGGAACAAATTACTTTGACTATACAATCATACCCTTTACTTGACAAATCATGCATGAAATTACTCTTGATAACATCCAGTTACGAGACGCATTTGGGTAAAACAATGCATAACTGATCAACAAACTGCGAAGTATATATCTCCACTTTAAAAATAGTAGATATTATCGTCTTAGAATTACTCGTGATAAAATCCATGAAATAATCTCATAGCGTGGGTTTATCCGATACTTTAAATCCTTATTTTCTAAGTACTCATGAATATTGTAGCTATCCCCATGCAATGTCTAATATCCATAGACAATCTACAAAAGATTCATGACAGTCTTGATTCAGTACCTACTTCCAAAAGTATGAACGCCTGTGGAATTCGAATAATAAAAAAATTATTCAGGAAGTAAAACATGCAAAATGAAACATAATAATAAATAATCGAAGAAGGTAGTATAAATACTCTTAAATAAATCTCCATTATTTAATCACCAAAAACAATTACAAATTTTTTTACAAAGTTTCAATTTATCAACTACTTACTAAAACTAATGTTGTCTCTTAAAACAATGCTCCTAGCATGCTGGGTGTGCTTAGCCTTACTAAGAACCTTTGTAAAAGGATTTGTAGGATTATCTTCTGATGACACTCGTTTCACTTTGAGATGCCCATCTTTTACTCTACGTTTGATGTAATGATATTTCTTGTCAATGTGATTGGGCCTTCCAAGATCTTTTAGTTCTTTTGTTAAAGAAACCACACCTTCGTTATCACAAAAGAGCTCCATTGGTTACTCAATTGTCGGAACAAGTCCAAGATTCCCGATGAAATTCTTCAACCAAGCTACTTCCTGTGAGTCTTTACTCCCTGCTATGTACTCTAATTCACTAGTAGAATCAGTCATCGTTTTCTGCTTGAAACTATTCAATGTCACTGCTCCACCATTTAGTTGGAACACACAACCATACTGTGAACAAAAGTTTTCTCTATCTGTTTGGAAGTTGGAGTCACAATAACCTGTCACTCTCAATGTATCATTGCCACCAAGAACTAAGAACATTTCTTTGGTTCTTCGCAAATACTTTATAATATTCTTTACTCCTATCCGGTGTGCTTTTCCTGGATTATCCTGAAATTTACTAACCATGCTCAAAGCATAAGACACATCAAGACGAGTACATGTCATAACATACATGATTGATCCTAAAGCAGATGCATATGGGACTTGAGTGTAACACCTTATTTTCGCATTCCAATAGAATTTAATACAAACCGTCATTTATAAAATTCAAAGTAGAGATATATTACTTTTTAGCTAAAGTAATCATCATAAACATGTATGAAACATCGATACAATTTCAGTAGATATATAGAACGCCCGAATCTGACTTCGTGTGAAGAAGTTATGCTTCTTCGAAGTTTTACGATTTAAATCGACACGACTATACATGTCGTAAAATGTGAATAAGAGATAGGTTACTTATTAGCCTCAGTGATCTAAAAAAAATCGTAGTAATCGCAAAACCAAGAGCGTACATATAGAGAACGTCTAAATCTGACTTCGTAAGAGGAAGTTATGATTTTTCTAATATTTTAGCGTAATAGTGTTAGCACATAAATCAAATTTTAGATTGGTTGATTGTTAGCTGAAAAAAATCTAAATGGGAATTGCAGATCTCGTTAATAGGAGTTTGTCGATATAAATACAGTAAAAAACGAATGTCGTATGAAAAAGATATGAATTTTAAGCGGAGTTTAGCAGTCTAAGCCTTCTAAAATAATAAATAAAAAGTATAATTTGCAAATTCGCCATCATATTCTAAAAGAAAGTTTTAGATCTCATCGGTAGCTACACTTGGATATAAAGAACGTAAATAACGAAGTTCATATGAAGAAGATACGAATTTTTGAAGTTTTTCGAAATGTGCAACGTGCGGAGTAGGTATGC